GTTACAACACTTTCTTCTTTTCTCTTTAACGAAGAAACGTGAACGTTGACTTATCAAATTTAACAAACTCAAACATTAAGAACATTTTCGATCGATACGCGTGCTAATAGAATGTGTATCAAATTTGATTTTAAAATATGCAAATTTACTTTGTACCAACCTAATACACTTGAAAAATATCAATGCAATATTACATTTTCAATAAAGCATTTAGGCAGACTAGCAGATGCTTACGAATAGCACGTACACAAGTTTAAACTTTATACATGATTAAACTTATAATACTATTTATATAATTTTAAAGTAGTTTGTATTGTTATTAATTGTTAATTAATTATAAAAATCAAGCTAAACTCTTATAACATAAAAGATGACAGATCCCTGTCCAGATCAGTTTGTTCCAGAACTCTATTAGTTTGAACCAGATCACCCTATCAGATAACCCTATCAGACCACCCTGATCAAGATCATCCTATCAGTTTGAATCAGATTACCCAATCACTACCCTATACCAGACCACTCTATCAGTTTAAAACAGATCAGAATTGTCCCAGAACCATGTAATTCTCAGGCGACAAATACAAAATTGTAAGTTTCAGTTCAGGCTGCTCCGGAAGGAAAGCTCGGTTTTTACTGAATCTTGTATTCTAATAGTTGTATTTACGCACATTCTTGATGAAAGTATCTTGAGGCTGTACCAACTCACTCGCTAGTTTAATTAAGTAAAAAAGTTCGTCAATCCTTATTTTCAACTCTTTTAATATCACTTTGTCAAAAGAATAAAAAAAGTAATCGCCAAGAAATATTTCAGCTTTTCAATAAGGTAAACTACATGCAAAACTTATGTTTCAAGCTAGTTGGTCCACCAAATAGTAAAAAACTGTTTTAGAGTCAAGTTTTACAAGTTTCAGTTTATTTTAAAAAAGGAGCGAATAAGTTGCCCGCGCAACTTATTCGCTCCTTTTTTGCTCCGTTGATCTGTTGATCCGTTTGCGTTCGTTGATCTGTTATGTAACCTTTTTATTACATAATTTTATTTCCAGGTAAAGAGGTCTGCAAAGTAAACACAGAACTATCAAAATAAATGAAAACTTTGTCTTGAAAAAGTTGGCAGATAATAAATTCTAAATAAATTTTGATATTAAAAATTTAATATTCAAAAATTGTTTTAATTTCTAGCTTTTGCTGGGCCTACCGGATTCTGCATAACATTGAACGCCAATCGTTGTTTAAAATATTTCTAGAGTATTTCTAACACTTAGGTGGAGAAGATAATAGAATAGAAATGTTTGTTTATTTTTTTGTATTACTTTGATACAACTTAATTGATAAAGAAATAACATTAAGTTAAATTGTTGCTTTCATGTTAGTTTTAGAAAAACAGTATAAAAAATTATTTTTTGTGTTGCAACACTGCATAAAAACATAACAACGGCGTCATAGAAACAAACAACGGCATCATGTGTTTGGCGGCTATCTTAGTTGTGCAGGTTCCCCGCAAACATTAGGTAAAAAAGACGTTTTTAATACGTCTTTTAAACGTATTAGACGTATTTTATATGTCTTTTTACCTAATATTTGCTGAGTAGCTAGCGTTTAGTTTTATGCATTTAAAGTGAATTTGGAGTTTTTTTAGCAATACCTAGCTTTTGCCGTATTTTGCAAAGTATATCTTGCTAAGTTGTTCTTTTTTTCACGATGGGGTATTACCTCACGAAAACAAGAAAAGATTATCACCTTTAATGAACATATTTCATTAATTCAATGGAAGATTGCAGAAGAGTCTAGAGTTAGTTTGGGAGCTGTGAAAAATTATCAATCAAAAACAGAAAACTGGATCTGTTGCTAAACAAAAAATTGGAAATTGTGAGAGAAAAAGAAAAACTTCTACAAAAGATAAAGCATATTTCCATTCTAAGGTCTAAAACAAAATTCAAGAATGATAAATTTGATTTGCAAAAAGATTTGGAGGCTAACAGAGTAAAGATTTACAACTCTATAGTGAGAAAAAGGTTTATTGAACCTCAAAGAAAGGTAGTTAAAGTAGAAGCAGTGTTAAATGTAGCTCATAAACTTAATTCTAAAATTCTCTTATCTTACATTAGCTATAAAAAGTATCTTAAGCATCCAAATCTTCATAGTTTACTAAAATCTCCAACAAACCATTCTGAAATCTCATCACTTATATCTGAAACAAAACCTAGAAAGTCAATAGACCCTAACAGCATCCTCACAACCGTTCTTACTGATTTTCATTCTGAGTTTTCTAATATTCTCTCCGAGCTATTTAATATCTCCTTCTTAAATAGAATTTTTCCAGACATTTTGAAATTATCTCGTGTCATTCCAGTATATAAAAATGGCTCAAAACTCTTATGTACTAACTATAGACCAATTTCAATTCTATCTAACATTAGCAAACTCCTTGAAAAACTAATGTATTCTAGATTATACTCATTTTTGAGTTCCTTTAACTGTTTAAATGAATTTCAGTTTGGATTTCGATCAAAACACTCTACTTGCCACGCTTTAATAAGTATAACCGAAAAAAAAAAAAAAAAAAACACACTGGATACTGGTCATTTTGTTGGTGGTGTTTTTATCGACTTACAAAAAGCTTTCAATACAGTTATTCATACCATTTTAATTAAAAAAAAACTTGAACATTACGGAATTTGAAGAATTGCTTGTAATTGGTTTCAATCTTATCTCTCAAATTAGAAGCAAATCTTAGCCCTTTTATGTTTTTGATTTATATTAATGATCTAAATAACTTCTCATCAGTCCGTTTGTTTGCCGATGATAAAAATATTTTGCATATAAATAAGTTTCATCATTACTTGTGTAAGAATATAAACTTAGAACTAAAAGGTTTAGTTCATAGGCTAAATGCAAACTTTTCTCTGAACTTGGAAAAAACTGAACTAATATTTTTGTATTTTATATATTCAAGCGAGCATACTAGTATGCACCCCTGATCCCAATTGACTGTTTTTATAATTTAAAATTTACTTAAGATATTCTGGTAAAAAAAATGATTATTAAATTATAGTAAGGTATAAAATTTGTTATCATGTACTGTTACTATAGAGACCGAAATGAAAACATATGTTCAGTAAATGAAAACATATATTCAGTAAATTGGTCTAATAGATTTTTAGGATCATGGGTGCATACTCTCTCCTACAGCAACTAATTATTTTTTCTAAGTGAAAACAGACTGCATAAAGATCTGCGTTGGTTTCCAGAAAAAGTTTTTAAACAAGCCTTTTTTTATCGTTTTTTTTTTTCTTCCTACAAAAATTGATAATCTCAAATCCATTTTCCTATTTATTTTGGCAAAATGGGTTAGAAAACACACTTTTAACCAAAGAATGAAGCAAAAATAAACATTTGTTACACTGTGTTATTTATTACAATAAATTCAAACGAGCAACAAGCATTAATAAAACTTAAAAAATATAGTGCGTCGTTATCTAATCGTTGTTTAATAAATATTTGATTGGCCATATATTTTGAATTATTAAAAAAATAGTCTCATTAGAAAAAAATATTTCGGTCAAAAGGCTTTTTTATTATAAATTGAAATAAATTAATAAAAAATTATCGATTTATTAAAGACTTTTTAGCGAATTTAGCGCGTTCATTTTCTAGCAATGGTTTTATCGTTTTGAGCATTTCCAGCAATTGTTGCTAAAATAAGTAAATAAAAAATAAATAAGTAAATAAAAGATAAATAAGTAAATAAAAATAATTAAATAAAAACACTGAATACATGAAGCAAATAAAATCAAATCAAACATACATAAATACAAATTAAAATATCTGACCCTGCTTTCTTGAGCTGCGATGAAGTCGGCCAGACAAGGATCTTTACTTTGTTCTTTATGTAAATCAATTATATTCTTTTTCAAATTATCTCTTGAAATAAATTAGCTGATTAGTCAAACCATAATTAAAACGTACAAATTTTTCACATTTTATTTATATATAAATAAATTTAAATTCAAAAATACATAATTATAAATTTAAAAACCCCCTATTATTATCTTATTAACTGTATTTAACACCTATCTAATAAGAGATAAAAACATGAATTTAATTAACTAAAGATTAATTTTATTTTCATTAAATATTAGCAAGCTCTTATTTGCATCAAAGAACTAAACGACAAAGAGAAAAAGCCTTGGTCAATTTGATCAAAAATATCATCGAAAAGAGTGCAGTCTTTAGGTGAAAGAGATCGATATAGAACAAAGAGAAAGGCAATAGAATGAAGTGGTGCTAAACGAAAGCACATAAAAGAATAGTCTGCGGATTCCAACCTAGTTTCCTGACACATCAGTAAATTTTTACGAATTTAAATGTCCAAGCCAAGCATGTCACATGCTTGGAATCTTTATGAATTAAACAAAGATAATCAACAACATTAAAATCACAAGATGAGACAGGTGAACTAAAACTAGTCTCACAAAGAGCAGTCACAAACAGGTCCGATGAAGATCCTTTGCAAGATGAGATTCAACAGAAGAAAAGTTACTTCGAAGACCACAAATATTTGTGAATCAAAGATTTAGAGAACTTGGTGATAATGATGATGGTTTTTTGTGTTTTATAGTTTTTGATATTTCTGTTGTTGAGATATTGATATTGGCAGCACACATATTACATAAAAATTTAAAACCTTGACTTAAAATTCTGATATAATGATACTGTAAATGTTATGATAGTGATTCTGGTCAAATTCTATGATCAACATGTTGTTAACTATTGCGCAAAATATTAGACTTAAAATTTGACTTGTTTAGGAGAAATACTTGTTTAAAATGTAGTTAATCTTTTTTTTGCTGACTCTGTTTTTGAGTATATTCAAATTTTTTTTAGGTTTACTCTAAATGATTTTTAATACAAATAGCTTTTTACAAATATTGCATCAAAATTAATTATACTGACTATTTAAATCTTTTTAGTAACCTTAAGGCTTTAAAACATTGTCAGCGATAAGTAGCAAAACTTATTTAAATAGTTAACTCAATAGCTTTTACATAAGAAACTGCTTGGGTCGCCAATTTCAGTCAAATAGAGTGTTAGTTAAAAGAACATTTGTTGCTAGATGCTTATTTAGAATTAATTTAAATAAACAACAAAGGGGCGCATTAAAATTTATTCTCCACATGAGAGCAGCAAGTAAATTTAGGCAGCGAAACTAATTTACTCAATATAAACAGTCCTATTTATAATGCACTAACTGACACATAACTGCCTTCCAAAAGTCTTTTACTACACATCAAACCCTGAGTTTGAAAGTGTATCTTTAACATTAAAATTGGGTTTTTAAGAATAAAACTAAAGAAAAACAAAAAAATTACCTTCTTTGTTTGAGAAACTCTATATTGTTTTGGATAGATATATACTTTTTTAATGCCTAAATGCAAATATCAGGAGTATAAATATTAAAAAATAATTATTATTTTTAAACCAGAAAGCTTACAAAAAATTAATCAACATACTTCCATATAATTTTCATAAATGTGATAAGATCTTGGATCTTCTAGAGGGCAAATTGGCATCAAGTCAGGTGGAATTAAATTCCATTGGCTTTGACATGGATCATAAAACTTTGAGGGTGGGGTTGGTGGCATTAATTGAAAGTGTTCATTAGTTCTTATTGAAGACGTAGAAATATTTTCAGGGGTTATTGGTTGGCGGGATTCAATATTTCGTTCTTGGTTGTTTTGTTTGATGGATACAGATGACTGAATTTCACTATCAACTGTTAAATAGAAAAAAATAGAAAAAAATTGTTTAACTTAAAATTTTAAAAACATTTTTAATTTCCTCAACTTTAATTTTAGTATTTGTAACAGAAAAGTTTCTTACACCAAGGTAATTGTTTATAAGCAGGCTCCATTATAGGTAAACTTCCACCAGTGACATACTAAGTAATTAACATAAAGACTATGTAATTAACATGAACACCATGTAATTAAAAACTAAATTAAAAATTTTTCAACATGTATCAAATTTAAATTTAAAATGTATAACTTTAATTTTGAATAAAAACTTTCAAACTTTCAAATTTCATCTACAGTTAAATACTTCTTTTTTTGAATTTAATTCAGATTTTTTTTTTTTAATTTTAATTCTGTCTAACCTATAGGTAAACATCTTCACTTCAAAAAAGGCTGCAAACAACCACCAGGAACAATCACAGTAAAAGTATGAGACTTAATTGAATGATGAGTAACACGAGAATAAATGTTACTAGAAGGCACAAAAGACCCTATCTTTTTAGAGCAGCGCCCATTACAGTATTTATAGAAAAGAGAAAGCGAAGCAACTTAATAAGACAATGGTTTAAACAACAATAAGACAATGGTTTAAGGTTGGATACAAGAGTAGGTCCAACTATGTTTACAATGCTTTTTTACACTTTGTTTTAAAAGAGACTGGGCATTGTTTGCTCCCTTCATAAGCAAGATCGTGGATCGAACTTGGAACCAACCATGTGGAAGTACCGTGCTCAACTTGTTTCTCCGCACAGTGGCCTTGTTCCTCAAGGTTCGTGTTTAGGAATTATAGAGTTAAAAGAGGGTTATAACCACAATTAAGTAAACTCTTCATCTGTAGTGGCCTTCTCGGCCTTGGAGAGGTGAACTAACAAAACAAAAAACAAAAAAATATATAGGAATGAATTTGAGATTTATAGTAATAAAGAATATAATCTGGAGTAAGAAAGTGGCCTGCACAATAAAGAGATGCAACCTTAACAGATGTTAATTTTGCAATGGTCTTGAGATATGGTTTCAAAGAAAGATCAGAAGTAGGAGTTAATCCTACCATTCATAAATATAGAAAGATCTATTATTGTGATGTTTAGCTGAAAATAATTTGTTAATTTATTAATAAACATCCATTTTATATATATATACCAATTTATTTTTAAAAGCTAAAAAAAACCCTTAACTAAATTAACTAAACCCCAGAGAAAATAATTTTTTTCAGCTTATTTTCTTAGCTTATTTTCTTAGATATTTGGTTTCCAATAGTATGTTTCTAAAATAAATGATTTCAACAACATCAATTTAAACAGCATCTACTTGCCATCCTCTTTTTTACTATATTTTACATGCAGTAAAACCTTTTGAAAATAATATACTTAATGTAAATATATCTAATATTTGGTGACTTTTTTCCGATTTTGACCTAACGTAGATGGATCAAGACAAATGGCATGCTGAAGGAGAAAAAAGTCACTGCAAGTAGCGTCAATATGTTTAACAAGGTAGAACTTCCTCAAAAAATGCAATTAATCACATTAAAAAAATAAAAATGTCCTTGAAATTAAGAACTCACTAAAGTACCACAAAATACCACAAGATACCCAATACTTTTAAACAGATGACATAGGGATTTAAAAATAAATAAATAAAATAAACAAGTAAAATAATATTTATATAAACTCAATTTATCTTTTTTAATCTCATCTCTACTTGTTTTTTCTTAATGGTTTTTCATAATATGTTTATTATAAAAATGATTTAATTCTGCTTGTAGTTTAGTGTCATTTAGTGTCATTAAGTGTCATTTAGTGTCATATTTGAAAAAAAATGAATGACAAACAGATTGAAATATTTTAAATAGAATTTATAAATTGAAAAATGAATACAATCATTAGTTTTCAAAATAACAAGTTTACTTTAATGTTAAAGATTTTGCTTTTTTAAAAAACCTATTAACTGTCAAAAACTGAACAATGTGGTTGTTCGTGAGTTTCATCCACACAACTAATAATAATAATTACTCAAACACTTACACATACAGTTTGTAGATCGTATAAAGTCAATACCTTGAAATAACTAATGTATATTTTTTAACCCTAATGAAAGAAACATGACCACCTTTTTTGAGCAATTAAAAAGCAACCAAAATTATCTTTAGATAATTTTGGAGACTTTTGAAGACATCAAATTATAGGTTTTTGTCTTTAGGATAGCTTTTTCTCATTTAATATACTTAAACTTAAAGATTCTGAGTTAATTGATTTTTTTCAGTAGTTGTAGCTGTTTATTATAATTTATAAAAGTAATACTATTAACCAAGCCCTTTGCATTAACATAATATTTATCAAGCCCATAGCATTAACATAATATTTATTAAGATCACACTAACATTCTATTCATCAAACCCATAACATTATTATAATATTTATCAAGCCCTTAACATTAACATACTATTTGATAAGCCCTTAATATCAATATACTATTTACCAAGCTCTTAACACTAAAACAATATTGAATTATCTTTAATTGTAATGTTAATATGTAATGTTTTGTTGTGATAAAATTTTTCTCCATATATATATATATATATATATATATATATATATATATATATATATATATATATATATATATATATATATATATATATATATATATATATATATATATATATATATATATATATATATATATATATATATATATATATATATATATATATTATATTAAAGACATAGTTATGTGCTTAATGTAAATATGTGTGGAGAAAATATTTTTCTGTTCTACTTTATCTAAAAAGTAGAAAGAAAAAAAAAGATTATATAACTTATAAACAGTTACTTAATCTTGAAAAGTACACAATATTAACATTAAACAAGAAAACAACATAATTTTAAATTAAACTTTGTCATTTGTATAAAATTGTGAAAACTTGTCATATTAATGTACGCATATGTAAACTTTGCTGTTAATTTGTTGCTGAAAATACATTTTATATAAGAAGTCTTTTTTTGTTTTCAAAAAAGCTTTAAATTTATTTTACATTAAACTTTTTCAATCCAATTTTATATTATATTTTTTCAATACAATTTTATATTTTATTGATAGATAGTGTATATAAACACTACCTATCTATCATTCTAACCATCTATTAGGCTGGTGTAGATGTATTTATAATAAATTGTTTCCGGTTTAGGATGATGAATGCTAGATCTTCTTGACTCAATACATAAGTTTTGCAGACTATTTTTTTATGTACTTTCATTTAGCATCACTTTACTCTATTGCTTTTCTCTTTGTTCTATATCGCACTCTTATATCTCAAGACTGCCCACTTTTCAATATTATTTCTGATTAAATTGACCAAGCCCTTTTTCTTTATCTTTCAGCCAATATCGTTGTTGTTGGTGACATTAATGCTCATCACACTGAATAGCTTGGCTCTAGTGTAAGTCATTAACTAATAAACACTTAATCTCTTGTCTTGAATCTAACAACTTACTTTCTGATCATTAATATGGATTTCGATCTTCTTGTTCTACTGATAATTTGTTAACAGTAATACTGATAGGTTTTAATGTGCATTAGATAGATGTGGAGAGGCTAAGGCTATCGCTAAAGTTTGGCATGCTGGTCTTCTCCATCAGCTCTCTTCTTATGGTGTATCAGGTAACATTAAGATTATTAAATCCTTCCTTACCAATTGTAGTATAAAAGTTGTCCTCGATGTACAAACTTCTTTTTCATATCCTGTAACTTCAGAGATTGCTCAAGCTTCTATCCTTAGCCTTATACTTTTTTAATTTACATTAATGATCTCCCAGAACTTCTCACATCTAAGTTGGCATTGTTTGCTAAAGATACTACCATTTATTCTTGTCTTGATAAGAAGCCAACACTCTCTGATTGGTTGGAGGGGGCATTTGAGCTTGAAAAGAATCTCACATGTGCTACAGCATGGAGCTCACAGTGGCTGGTGAACTTTAATTCAGATAAAACTCAATTTTTTTCAGCTAATCATTATCGCAATGATCTAGATCTCCTGATATTTATAAATGGTAATGTACTCAATGAGTCATCTACCCTTCATCTTCTAGGATTAACTCTTACTTCTGGTCTTTCTTGGAAACCACATATCAAATATGTTGCAAAATTAGCATCTGCTAAGGTTGCATCTCTTTATCGAGCTTGACACTTTTTTACTTTGGATTCTATTCTTCCTCTATAAATCTCAAATCTGTCCTTGTATCGAATACTGTTGCCATATCTGGGGTAGATCTTCTAATGATCCCCTTCCTTTTTTAGAAAAGATGCAAAAATGCATTTTAAACATTGTTGGACCTGCTCTTGAAGCCAAATTCCAACCATTATCACATCGTTGTAATATTGCTTCACTTTCTTTTTTCTATAAATACTATAATGGGCACTGCTCTAAAGAGCTAGCATCTCTTGTGCCACCTACTAAAATTCATTTTCGTGTTACTCATTATTCAATCAAGTCTCATCCTTTAACTTTGACTGTTCCTAAGTGCTTCAAAAATTCTTAATCATCTAGTTCTTTTCATCGAAGATCAGTCCCTTGGAACTTGCTTCTTTTATCTTGTTTTCCTGATTCATATAATGTGCAATTTTACAAGTTGTCTGTTAATTGTTATCTAGCTCTATAAATTTTATCTTTTCTCTATTACAAAATATGAAATCACTTCATTATTTATATAAGAAATCCATTTTATATTGTAATAAAAAAAAGGTTAACTTAAAATTTCACAAAAACACATACCAAACATTTTACACTATTTACTAACAATTACAACAATTAGAG